CAGCTGTTAACAAATTATGCAAAATTATTTCCCCTCACCTTGCCCCACTTTTAGAGATGCGATTAATTTTACGGGCCATCGTCTTTCTGCTATTTCACTTAACGTCACGGAAGCGCACAGTGAAGTGCTCTGTTTTATGGGAAACGGAACGCTCGCATGGACGAAAACCGCGAACCGAGGCCGCTTCATTTTTTTTTCTTTCTCACTATTGAATGGTAATGGAGAGTTACGATTGCGATTTATGGGCGGCGTTACACTTCGGAGACTCTGAAATTTCGATTTTATGGTCGTGCGGCTTATCGCCCACCGCCGGCAATGGACTGCGAAGTGCACCGCCACTGCCGTCATCATGCGATCGAATGCCACAAAGAAAGAGACGTAAATCAATAGGGATACATTTTTTTCAATGGGCTCCGAGAACAGCAACGTTGCAACCGAGCCTATCGAGAGATTATTCAAATTCAGTCTAACGTATCATCGATAATCAGTTCTAGGTCGTCGTAATATGACTGTAACGTATGTTGCAGAAAAATTAACAATCTCGCTCGAGCTCGAAGTCAATAATTTCTTAATAACACGCAGATTGAATACCGTTAAAGTCAAATATATGAGTCATATGAGTTATATTATTTCTATTTCAACGTGATTTCTGCAATTGGCCACATATAAAACGCAGCATCTATCCCAAACTCCAGATGTCTGTCTTTGAAATGATAATTTCTTTTTCGTAAATTATCTTAATAATATAATATCTAATATTCTACTTTAATAATACATCCCTACTTTACTTTTCTATTTTTATCTACTGACGAATATTATTATAATCGTCTATAGATAAAGATAGACGGATAAATTAAGATGACGCTATTAAGTTGAACTTTCAGTAACGAATGAGATAAAAATAGAATATATGAGAAAGCGTAATATGCGACCAAAAATCGAGAAAAATATGGAATCTGTTTTAATCGTACAAATCATGGAATGAAGATGCATTGTAGAGTACGAGACCGCAAGAGAACAGTGAATAACTTTTCTAGCGGTTTGCTCTTCCTAGTTTTCCCATCGAAGTCCGAACTTGCACATATCTCAAGAAGTTAGCCTGCCGGAGAGGAAACGAACAAAAATGCCGCATTTACCTTTCCCTACGAGGCAGGGGGGGTTTCCGAGGTACCGAAAGAAAAGTAATTTGGCAAAATCGTGTTTTCCATTCGTTCAAGTCCGTCGTGTTAAAGTGTAGATCTCTTAGATAAAGTAAAGAATAGTAATTTGCGAATACGCTCGATGGACATTTTGCGAGAGAACGCTATCAGCAAAGGATTAATTTTATGTGAAAAATATATTTCTCACTTTATACACGCGTATTTAAATTTTAGGTGAATATTTAATCGACGTTCAATATATTTTGTATATTTTCAATTGCATGACTATATATTTGATAGTATACGTTGCGGTACACGTGCTCCATAAAATGTAACTGTAAAACGAGGAAAAAATGGAAATAATTTTTATTATTATGCGCATGTAAGAAGACTGGCTAACATACATTTTATATGGGTAATGCTTAAGGATTAATTCCGATGTAAGGTTAAGGAAAGTTATCTCTGTGGACTGCACGTTAGTGCATAAGATATAATCAATTCAAGAAGGCGTACTCTCTCCTGCCGATTTGAATTTATGTATCTGCAGGTATCTCCTATCGTACCTATAATGAATGAGTCACGCCTTTCCTACGTTGTGAAGAAGTTTGCGATTTCCATCATATTTTACATATACGATTGAAAAATTAATAAACAATTTATTTCGCAGATAGCATACAAATTACATTTGGAAAGTCACGCTAAAATCTAAAATACAATCAGTTTTCGTTTCGTATTTAAATTTGTCGCATTGTAATTTTACGTATTTTAAATTAAATAACTCAATTACTTCGACACATGTCTCGAAAGTATACAGGGTGTACTAAAACCACCGGATATCCTTTTAATCGCAGATTGTTCGCATCCGGTGTGGTGGTTTTATCCACTGCACCGTGGTTTCGCTTATTTAATTAATAATGGAATATTGTGTGTATCATTATGTTTTATTCTTATTATAGATTATCTATATTTTGATGTGTTATAATACGTACGCTTTGCTCGAGGTAGCAACGCTTTCCTCGAGGTGGCAACGCCTGGGGGTATCGTACCCTGAGCCACGTCGATT